AAACAAAATAGACTGTCACTATACAAAATATATACAAAATAGATGTAACTATACAAAATATATACAAAAAAGACTGTCACTATACAAAAATACATGATACACTCCAAATACACAGTGTGCACACATTACACATACAAAATTGTATATAATTTATATACACTATGTTTATATATTAGAAAATACACATTATATACAATTTTTGATATATTATTCAGACAGATTATACATTCACGATACAAAATACATGTGGATATATACACTTTAGATACACAAGCACACTCGAGATAGGCTCGATATACACCAAGGATACACTGTCGAACTTAGGATACAATATTTATACATTGCAAAAAAGGGTTGCTCTATTGCACCAGGCAGGGGTCGAACCTACAAACCTTCAGCTTAGGAAACAGGCGCTCTATCCATTGAGCTACATGCACTTATGTTGTCATACTTATTCCTTTCGGCTACTATATGCAATACTTTTGGCTTGAATGGCCATTTTTTGTAAGTAGGACAAAATATGAGCTATTAAAATTTTGAGGGCTATTGAGGTAGTTTTCTCCCGTATAAATCAACATGCCGCAATCTACACGTAAATTCCAAGAAAGAAAAGTACTCCTATATAAACAAGAAAAGAAATCTAAAATCATTGTATTGTAAGGATTCTGAAACTTAGTCATTAAGGATAAAAAAAGTCTCAAATTCCCAATTTATCCAAGAATATCCCTCATGCTCTATAAATAGTAGTAATTGAAAGTTATGCAGAAAGATCAAATACTTTCTTCAATTCTTTTGCTTTTCTTGTTGATTGCAGCTATCGTAACAATGGCAGATTCACAACCCTCCATTGAAGCCAAAGTTCATATAGTATACACTGAGAAACCTGAAGATCTAGAAGCCGAGGACTATCATATCAAAACCCTAACTTCTGTTCTTGGCAGGTTTGAATTATTTTCCAATTCTGTTCTTTTTTCCTGTTTTAAATTTTAATATAGAAATATAGGGTTGTGGGTTTGGTTGGATTGATCTTGTTTCTTATAAATTTAGCCAATTTAGTTGTTTTTAAAGTTAAAAAATTGAATTCTCACATGTGGTTAGATTTTGTCCTTGTATTTATCTTCAACATCCAATTTTTCTTTTCTTTGGGTGTCTTTGATGTGTCCTAGAAAATGTTTTTTTTTTTGTGAATTGTTTTTCTAGTGTTTTGTTAGAAAATAAGGGACAAAGTTTTACTTATATGCTTGTTTCAGCCAACACATCCTTTAATGCTATTGTCTTACCACATCCTTCAGCTTGTAGGATTAACTAAACACTGAAAGATGGTAAGTGAAGTGCTTTCATTAGTAAAAGGAAATATTTGCCAAGGATTTATTTTCCTCCTTACCAACTGCTTATAATGATTGCATACTAGGCCAAGGATATATTTTCCTCCTCTTTACTGTTTATAGCTCTATAAATGAAAATATTTGCTAGCACCCAAGGGTGTGAAGTGGGTGAGAACCAGGAGGTCTCGGGTTCAAATCCTAGCGGGGGCAAAAAAACACTAGGTGATTTCTTCCATCTATCCAAGCCTTGGTGGATAGAGTTACCTGTGGCTGGTGGGAGGTGGCAGGTATCTCGTGGAATTAGTCGCGGTGCGCGAAGCTGGCTCGAACACAATGGTTATCAAAAAAAAAAAAATTGCTGTAATATATACTCGAAATTCAGGAAACATTTAGTGGTGCGTACCGATTGCGTGTTTGCAAGTTAATTTGGACAATAAGAAACAAGTCAAATTGACTTTTGTGATCTTAATTTGAATAAAGTATGAAACCTCTTGAAGCAATATTGCCAATTTTCAACCAATCCCAGTATTTGTTGGTAATGAATGAAAGATGGGTTGAAGATCATTTGGTTTGCTTTGGTGGAGGAAAAAGGGCATTGAAAATGCTTACTATCAATTATCAATTATATGTATTATCACTATTACTGTATGGTATATGTATGTTATACTAAAATCTTTGTATGGAAACACATTGTTTTATGCATAATTTTGGAGTAAAGATCCTGATATTTTGTGTGTGCTTATGGCAATCAAAAAGTGAGGAGGCTGCAAAAGAGGCGTTGATATACAGTTACAAGCATGCAGCTAGTGGATTCTCAGCAAAGCTGACTGCTGAGCAGGTTTCTGAGCTCTCAAGTAAGTTTTTAGTTTCTCCCTCTTTCAATGTCATTGATTCCTTTTTTGGTATATGGTTGACCTGTATGTCTTTCTTAGATGAGTAATTAGTATGGCAAATTTAAATATAAGTATGACAGCCATAATGCTCGTTTAATTGAAGTAATTGGCATTCACGTTGAGGGTTGAACATAGTATTTCACGTTCTATTGAAGACTTTCACACATTTTGTGATAATAAACATTTCTATTTTTCTTGCTTAATCTAAAATTGAGATTCAAATATGATTGCCATTTCATCATTAATAGTCTTAACCATCAGAAGATAGAGTAAGCATCGTTTGTCTCGATTTTTGTAGAATGGTTTGGATCTTTCTTTCTTTTTTTGTGCTTAGAGACAGGGGTAGGGGTTGTTTTAGGTTAGGTTTAGTGGTTTATATGGAGCATAATCATTAGTTCTTGACCAAGATGGTCCACTATTGACATAGGACTATAAACATGAAAAAGTATGAGAGGATGGTTCACCATTGATATAGGACTTTCAATTTTACGTGAAAAGAATAAGAGGAATGGTTCTCTTTTGATATGACTTTCAACTTTACCTTAAAAAGGATGCAAGGAATGAGGACAGATGTACAATTATTGGAACACTTTTGGAAGGAAATGCCCGGAGACATAGGATTACTTCTCAAACTTTTTATTAGTTCCATTTATCTATATAAAAAAATCAAGTTCCTAGAGACAGAGTCCTTACTCCCGGTGGTCCATACCATCTAGATCATCACAGGGGCAAGTCCAAGGTTATACTGGGGTATTTCTTTTGATGTCATTCTTGAAGACTAAATAAATTGCAGGTTTGCATGGTTCGCTGATGTAGCTGGTGCTTGATATTCAGCAACTCTTGCTAAAACTGTTGAGTTTGTAGTTTTCTTTCCATTAGAGCGCCTGCCCTTTGCTACAAAGATACAATACTTGCTGTGGACGTCTTCTCCTTAGTATCTCTATGTCATATCGATTTATCTATAAAATTACATCCTTGATGTCCAACAAAACATTTTGCATTTGACATTTAGGGCTGTGATTTTGGATTTTTGTTTTCTAGGATGTGTAAAATGCACTTGAGTGCTTCATTTTATGTTCTTTACTCTGGATGAAAATCCTCAATTCTTGAAGTGGACAGTAGTACTAACGTTAAGGCAAATCGCGATGAGGCAATAAGGTCATTGTGTCTATTTTGGGTTGCATTTACTTGATTCTGAACTTGTAACTCAACAATGCATCAGCTTTTGTTTGTTCCCTCCTGAAAAATACGTTCATATGATTTTCAGCAGTGTTCTTTTGGGGGCTTTTATGCTCTCAGACTAGCCTAACTAAGATGTGATCTTTTGCAGAGCAACCTGGAGTGCTACAAGTTGTTCCAAGCCAAACAGTTCAGTTACACACCGGGCGTGTGTGAACTGCAACTCTTGTGACCTCTTCTCCAACAAGTTTACATCATGTGTTTAGACTTCTTATCTATGCTTGTTTCTATGGTGTTTTGAACTAAAAAGTAAATTACTTGTACCATGTATGGGAAAGAGTATCCCTAATGTAAATGTGCTGCTTAATGTCGTAATACTTGTTTTAACTATATGAAAATAAATGGTGCTGCCCCCTTATGTCTAAAATTTGGATAGATGGTAGTCACGCCGCATGCTTTCTTTGAGTTGAGGTCTCTCGGAAACAGTCTCTCTACCTTCACAACGTGGAGGTAAGGTCTGCGTGTATAGTACCCTCCTCAGACCCCCCTCTTGTGGGATTGCACTGGATTACACTGGAATTGTTGTTGTTGTTGTTGGAAGTCACGTCGCAAGATTAATTAGTAGTTATGTGCCATAAACCGAGAGTAACTTATATGTTTTCCTTATAGGTAAGCGAAAAAATTTCATCTTCACACTTATGTTCCGAGTTAAAACTCTTTATGGGGAGAATCTTTACTTTGTTTTTTCCCTAGCCTTCACATGATGATATTTCAAAAAATTTCACAGAGAGGAAAGTAAACAGATTTTACAATCATCAATTTTTTGTTGATGTATACCATTTTGATGTTCTAAACAAATATACTTGTTATCTATTTTATAGTGTGATTGGGAGCTTTGGCGTAACTGGTAAAGTCGCTACAATGTGTTTAGGAGGTCATGGGTTCGAGCCATGGAAATAGCCTCTTGCAGAAATGCAGAGTAAGGCTGCGTTACAATAGACCCTTGTGGTCCGGCCCGTTCCCGAACCCTGCGTATAGCGAGAGCTTAGTGCACGGTCTAGAAAGAAGAGTTTGACAGGGTAAATTCTTATCTTTATAATATCACGTCACCTAAAAGATACTTATAGTTAACTCTCGATATTAAGTGAGATTATTCATTGTAAAATATGACACGATAAGTGAGATTAGTTAATGTAAAATAAGACAAATAACATACTACTCCCTCTGTTCCAGTTTATGTGAACCTATTTTCTTTTTGGTCCGTTCGAAAAAGAATGACCCCTTTCTAAATTTGGTAACAATTTAGCTTAAACTTACAATTCTACCCTTAATGAGAAGCTTTTATAACCACACAAATATTCTGGCCCCTTTTTGGCTTGTTTAGGACCACAAATTCCAAAAGTCTCATTTTTACTTAAACTCCATGCCCAGTCAAACAGGTTCACGTAAATTGGAACGGAGGGAGTACAAAATACACATTATGTAACAATTCAATTCCCATTAGTGCAAATAAGTGAAATTCAAGAAAAATAGTCTAAAAATAGAAAAGAAAAAAAATATTTACTAATTGATTGATGTTGGACGTGTCTCCCTTCCATTTCCAAATTCCACTCAACTTTGTCATTGCAACAGCACCAAGTCAACTTACACCACATTTCCCGCCAGGAAAACCTGACCATAGATCAAGAAAACTGTTAATCTCCCCCAAATAACAATCTAACATATGGAAAAGAAAAACAGAAGCTGAGAATTTTCCTCAGTATCTCCAAAATCAAGAAACAAGAACCATATTTTCAAGGTAAAAAAAACATAACACAAAACAAAATTGTTCTAAGAAAAACAATGGCACAAGCTGCAGCAAAGAAGAGACCTCCTATAGCTTCATCAGCAAAACCATCTCCTAATGTCCTCCCTTACCAAACACCAAGATTAAGAGAACATTACACTCTTGGCAAGAAACTAGGCCAAGGCCAATTTGGTACAACTTATCAATGCACAGAAAAGGCAACAGGTCTTCAATATGCATGCAAATCAATCCCAAAAAGGAAACTTTTATGCAGGGAAGATTATGAAGATGTTTGGAGAGAAATTCAAATAATGCATCATTTGTCTGAGCACCCTAATGTAGTAAGGATCAAAGGGACATATGAGGATAATCTTTTTGTCCATATTGTTATGGAATTATGTAAAGGGGGTGAGCTTTTTGATAGGATTGTTCAAAAAGGTCATTATAGTGAGAGGAAAGCTGCACATTTAATGAAGACAATTGTTAAGGTTGTTGAGGCTTGTCATTCTCTTGGTGTTATGCATAGAGATCTTAAGCCTGAGAATTTCCTCTTTGATAGTTCTGATGAAGATGCTACCCTTAAGGCTACCGATTTCGGGTTGTCCATTTTCTATAAGCCTGGTTTGTTTCTTGGATCATTCTTCTTTTGCCTTCATTTCCATTGGCTAATTCATGTTTTTGTGGGTAAGGCCTGCGTATACACTACCCTCCCCAGACCCCACTAATGGGGATTACACTGGCTTTGTTGTTGTTGTTGTTGATTGGATTTGATTTCTTCTGATGGCTGGAATTATTAGGACAATTTGTACATTTTGATTTTTTTCAGCTTTCATTATGGTCTTATCTTTTAGCTAGAAATGATCTTGGCATTATAGTCCATTTTGATTTTTTCAACTTTTCTATCACCTTTCTATAGGATGTAACAGAACTCAAATGCAAGGTACTGTTTCTGCTTCACATTATTAGATCAAATTACCATAAGCTGCCTGTCCTTGCTCTGCAATTCAAGGATTCATATTGAATTTTATCTTCGTCGTGCTTATTTATACTTTAGTTCCAATGATTTGTGGCTAAGTTCAGTCATTCTGTCTTTTAACATGTTAAAATTTATGTAGTTCAACAGCTTTTCTGGAAAGTAATTAGCATGCCACCTTTTGCGAGTTCGAAGAGAGAATAAAATTTCCCTAGACATCAAAATTAGGCATTACAAATGGACCATAAAACACATTATTTTCACTTTTTGTGCTCATAACAGTCAATCTCGAGCATGGAAAGTCACATTAACTACTTGACTTAAAAGTCACTGACTAGTCATTTGACTCTCTATACATTTACTCATTAAAAAGGACAACCCGGTGCACTAAGCCCCCGCTATGCGGGGTTGGGGAAGGGATGGACCACAAGGGTCTATTGTACGTAGCCTTACCCTGCATTTCTGCCAGAGGTAGTTTTCACGACTCGAACCTGTGACCTCCTGGTCACATGGCAGCAACTATACATTTACTCATTAAAGAGATAATATCCAGTAATCTTAATGATATTTGACAAATACTGGAATTAACTCTTATCACTGTTGACTATTTGCCTTCTTTCCTCATCTATCTTGTTTTGCAGGGCATTATATATCTGATGTTGTTGGAAGTCCTTATTATGTTGCTCCTGAAGTGTTGCATAAATATTATGGACCTGAGATAGATGTATGGAGCGCTGGTGTCATCTTATACATCTTATTATCTGGGGTTCCTCCTTTTTGGGCTGGTAAATTTACAATGTTGATGTTTCGTTTATCTTCTTTTCTTACTAGAAATGACGATCAAGATTAATTACTCCATCTTTTTCATTCCTTATTTCTTGTTTTTCTTCACTTTCTGGACTTGCAGAGACAGACAATGGTATCTTCAAGCAGATTTTGAAAGGAAAGATAGACTTTGAATCTGAACCTTGGCCTCATATATCTGATAGTGCAAAAGACTTGGTTAAAAAGATGCTCAACAGGGATCCTAAAGCGCGAATAACTGCTCATGAAGTCCTATGTGAGTCACACTTGCTTTATTGGTAATATTAACTGACGAGGTAGCAGAAAATGGTAGTTTCATTATCAATACGTGTTTGTCTTTTCCTCAAGGTCATCCATGGCTTGTGGACGATGCGGCTGCTCCAGACAAACCTTTGGGATCTGCAGTTTTAACTCGCCTAAAGCAGTTTTATGACATGAACAAACTCAAGAAAATGGCTTTACGAGTATGTACTTCCTTTATATATAATCTCTTACTCTTTTGCCAGTTAACACTGTTAGTTATTTCTTGGATTTGCATTAATAAATGTCTGATACGTGACATACGTAAATTCTTAACTAGGATCAGAAAAACAAGTGTAACAGTCTGAAATTGATATTGGAGAATGGAGATATACTAGATCTTTTCACTATATTATTTTTGGTTATATTTGTGTGTTATCCAGATATTTTCATAAATCAGTGTGCATATTCTTCATTATACTAGCATGATATACCTTCAAAGCATGAAATTTGCGCATGACCTGTTGTTCGCGTATCAAGTGTAGAGCACCACCACAGCTTGATTATCAGCTGCTAATTAATGTTTTTAAGCTCTTTACCATTGGGGACTGAAAACATAATTTTGGATTGTTGAAGAGTTCTTGGAATCTTATGTTGCTGAGATCCTTATTTTGTATCTCAATTTCCAGAATATGCGTTGATTTCTGATAATTGAAACACTCTATACTAACAGGTCATAGCAGAAAGGCTTTCAGAGGAAGAAATAGGAGGCTTAAAGCAGTTATTCAAAATGATTGACACAGATAACAGCGGGACAATCACATATGACGAACTGAAGGATGGCTTGAAAAGAGTAGGATCTGACCTTGTGGAGTCTGAAATCAAGGCCTTGATGAACGCGGTACTTTCCATTTTAATTGGGTTCAGAATCTCCAAAGATCAATGAAATGCTTAGTCGAGTTATACCTTTCAGATAAAGGCGTACGCATTTGCCATTTTGTTACTGTTTCTTGATCTTACCTGATTGTTGGATTAGTTTCCTGACCTTACTGGATACAATGATTCGAGAGAGCGAGTAGGAAACTTAATCCAATGGTTTTAGTCCCTCCAAATAAGTAGCAAAATGACAAGGTGCGAAATGTTTTTGCAGGCTGACATTGACAACAGTGGCACAATTGACTATGGTGAATTCATTGCCGCGACACTGCATTTGAATAAGATGGAGAGAGAGGAAAATCTGCTTGCTGCATTCTCCTACTTTGACAAAGATGGCAGTGGTTATATCACAACTGATGAGCTTCAACAGGCCTGCATAGATTTTGGCCTCGGTGATGTTAAATTGGATGACATAATTAAAGAGATTGACATAGATAATGTAAGAAGAAAAACTAACTTGTCCAATATAGCTTTTCAGTATTTTATTTATTTACTTTTTTGATCTGATTCCTGAGAACAACCAAGGTAATATCAATTTCTGTTTTTCAGGATGGACGTATAGATTATGGAGAATTTGCGACAATGATGAAGAAGGGAAATACAGGATTTGCAGCGAGAACTATGAGAGGCAATTTGAATTTTAACTTGGCAGATGCTTCTGGAGCAAATGACAGTGAGAAAAATCAATAGTAGGTTTCTACTACTGTTATCTTTTGTTTAGCCAACAACTTGTTCTATCAAAAATCAATCCAACTTGTTGATGAATTCGAAAAAAGAGATATATCTCATTCAAAATTTCATACTGAACTTCTGATATATGCATCTTTTCCTTTAACTCTTTGCCTTAGATATCATGTTAAACATTAAGTTTAGCTTGTTTAGCATTCACCTCTCTGATCCTAGTGTGATCCTTTACCAGACCAAGCTGATAGAAAACGTTGGACCAATCGAGGATCTAGGGAGATCGTGAGGCTTTCAATCGAACCAGGGAAGAGTCAACTAGAGCTGCATTTGCCGCGACAATGTTGGACCCTAACCAAGAGAGACTGGTGCATGGTGCTCTATTGTTTGACATGGTAGATAGGTTTAGTTCTATAGTAGCAAAAATTATTGTTGTTGCTGCTTTATCTTACTATATAATTGGAGGGCTTCTCCTCTATTTCACAAATTTAGATCACTGTTGTCTGTACTTGAGGAGTGTTGTAAAAACCTTCTTTATGTCTATATTCATTTGGTGTTACTAGAAATTGAATAACACTTTTTCATCATTTTGTCATATTTTAAAGCACTAAAATTAGTGCTAATCTTCTTTCCCTTATGTCTTCAGTTCATTTCCAATTGTATAAGCTTTATTTATTGTTTGCTCAAAAATTATCACATACCTTATGAGTATAAAACAACATAATTAAATCATGGGAAAATCATAGCAAAACGTAATAATCCATTGGACCAAATGAAGGAAACGAAAATAAGTACTCAACTTTAGGAAGAGAAACATAAAAGCTTTTATTGATAATATTGCTTTGGTCTGCCTCTCCATGGAGAGGTTCAGAGCCTTACAATGGTATTCCACATATGTGCATCGTTGTCTCTTTTTCTCTCTCCTCTCAATAGTTAAGAAGAAGCCCCCCCCCCCCCCCAATATGATTCCCTCTCTTGGTATTTATAGCTGTGAGCTTCGTGAGCTGGCAATAAGTGGCCGTGACCACGTTGGGGTTTTGCCTTCATGATGATGGATGGGCCATGGCCTTGTTGATCGAATCAGATAACGGTTGAATACCGTTAATTCTGAGTGGTCGTACCACTAATTAATCATGAATTAGCTTAAGACGGGATTAGCTTCGTTAATTATCGTGGGGTCGGATTCTGACCCATACAGTTAGTCCCTCCGCTTATTGAGGTCGTGCCTTGGCCGAGCTCGATGAGCGGATTTCATCGACTGTAGTTTGAGAAACTCGAATAGGGAGGTCGACCGCCGCGTCGGTCGAGGCCGAATTCTCTTTGGCGATGGCCCTTAGCCTTGTAGTGTGTTAGTGTTTTGTTATTGTGCTATCAAGTCGCCGTTCGATCGAGGTCGAACTCTCCTCCTTGGCGAGGGCGCTTGACCCTTTAACTTAATTCGAGTGAGGTCGAGCTTTGTTGTGCTCCGATCCTTACGTTTGTTTGGGAGCATAATCGTCGACCATGGCGGACGGGTCGTATGTGGTGCGGCCGAGGGGAGCGAGGGCACGCTGGATACGTGTTTGGCGACGTCCATCATTCTGAAGGCGCACGGAACATCCTCTCGGCGTTCATGGGTCGTTGCAACCGTTTCGCAGGTGAGACGCCGGTTGGTGACTAAAAAGCCGCTTCACGGAGCCTGTCATAATGACGTGCGTTTCTGAAACCGAGTCATGTAGTTAATGAACGCTATTGGGGCTTGTGAAAGCCACTTGTGTTGCTTATAAATAAGGGCTGACCCATTCATTTTTTTTTATATTCTCATTGTTTGTCTGAGAGAGATTCTGATGAAGCTTTTCTTCCTGCTAATTCACCTTCGTCTTTGTTCTTCGATTGATATAACTTCCGTCTTTGTCCCTCAAACTTTGTTTCTTTCTTGTTATTGAATCAACAATGGCAGCCAGTTCTTCCCAAAACGTTCTTCCGACGGATCTTCCGGTTAACCCTCCGGTGACTGAAGGGCCATCACCGGCAATGGGCGGTGCAGAACTGGTGGAGACCGATGAAGCTCCATCGGTTGACGAGATAGTATCTCTGCCCGGAGGTCCGATGACTGATTTCACCGCCGATGGTGGGGAGGATCAGGTGGATGAAGCCCCGTTAATGGGGGAGATTGGGATGTCCCAACTACGGGGACAGGGGGTCATCCCCAGCTATGCTGACGTCGTTCTCGCTAGAAGCGAGGAGAGGGTCCACACCGACCGCAGGGGATACTGTGTCTTTTACGCCTATCCCTTCAAGTTGGGGTTTAAGCTCCCGCTCCCAATGCTAGTGGTTGATTTCTGTCGTCATTACGGGGTATGCCCGGGTCAGCTTGCTCCTTCTCTTTACAAATTATTAGCAATGCTTATCAAATATGTAGAACTGGCCGGTAGGGAGGTCATGCTGCAGCATGTGCTTAGCCTCTACGCTCCCCAGAGAGTTCGTGGTACCATGATTCGAGCGTGCCCTCGCGGGACGAGGGGCCTGACTCTGAAACTGGATGATGAGGTCGACCCTCGTCCTTTCGAGCACTTCTTCTACATCAGGACTGAACATTTAGTGGCGTGCTCTACTGGGTTCCCAGAGGCTTGGAATCATGCACGTAAGTTCCTTAATCGTCGAATTCCCTTTTCTGCCCCTCCTTACGTCTTGTGCTCATAAACGTTAACTCGTATCAATTTTGTAGCC